CTCTCCACTCCACGCACAGGCTCACTGTGAATAGGGAAACTGAGGACTGAACGGCGACGGGAGGAAACAAGGGCAGGCTCCCTCTAGGTTCTCACTGGAGCATATGGACACCGACGTCAAGTCGTCTCCCAAGATGTGGCTCACTAGCCCAGACCTCTTACTGGGGGATCAGCACTCTATCCTAGCCTGCCAGCTACCCTGCCTACTGGTGACCTTGGGCCAGCCCCTTGACCCTCTTTGTCCAAGTGACCATTCCCCTGTCCCAGGCTAACAATTAGGCTCCACTTGGGAAGCCAGCCTGAAATCCTTACCTCTCCCTATACTGGCACCTAATAACCAGGAGCTCATCAAGCATCCTCCAAATTGCTTTACCTTTCCTCTAAGTCCAAACTTGATTCCAGTGTGATAAGAACCTTGAATTCTGCCTGCCTTCTCCAAGTTTCCCTGAGATATGGAGTGGAGATATGGGTGGGATACTGATAAGACAGTCTTGACCTCAGCTGAGCATTCTGGGTGCACCTGTGCACCCTCACCCTGGGCCTCAGCATCCTCTTCAGCTAAAGGTCTGGTGCTTTCTGACAGGAGCTTAGGAAGCTCCAAGGAGAATGGAGGAGGTAGAAGTGGGTATTCTATACCCAGGGAAAGTGGTGTGGCCCAATGCCAGGTGTTACCAGAACTGACATGGTGCCAAGTGAGGAAAAGTGGAAGGCGAGGCCAGGCCCAAGTACCTCTTGTTCTGAGCGGTCTTTGGTCCAGTGGAGAGGATGTGGAGGTGCTGAGAAGACTACTTCTCCTTGTTTGTCTCCAACGTGTTCCTTGGATTTTGGGACTCCTGTACCTACCTCCCCCCACCATACACACACACACACACACACTGCCTTCCTCCTCAGGAGTCTTCCCCCTATTCTGGGAACCACAGCCTTTTTCACATTGCTCTACCTGAGTGCCCCTTGCAGCCTCAGGGCCAGTGTTGGGGAGCAAGGTCTTTATCAGACACACACAGTACACACACAGGTGCATGGCCGCAAGGCTACAAAAAAAAGCTGTTGCCCCTCTAGGGTAGAGGACAGGGATTCCAAACTGCTGCAGCTTTTGTGAGGGCCCCCTGCCAGGCTGAGTTCACCCCACTGGCATGTGTCCCCAGGCAGGATTTACTGGCTGGGCTCCAAGGCAGGCACACACACGTACCTGGCACACACCAGTCCCGCCCCCGCCATGATGGTGACACAGCCATGGACACACCCCTGCACAGCTATGTAGTCACTCACCAGAAGCCTGTGGGGATCAATACAGCTATTCTATACTCCAGCTTCAGAGATATCCACACCCACACATGGGACCTGTGCTGAGACTCTGCTAAGCCTTCTGGTCATAGCCAACCCCAGAGATTCTGGACTGACCAGCTAACTGCCTACCATACTTTGAGAAGGTTCCTAAGCCAAACGCTTAGCCCCAGCAGGCAGGTCACCTCAAAATTCTGCCACCAGCTCCCCTAGCAGGATTCCAGAGCTCCTACCATGCAACCAGGGAAGGTGTGGAAAAATACTTGGCAGGCTATAGTATGAAAGAGTTGTGTGGGTCCTTTTCCTCATAAGTGGCCATAGGGCTGTGGCCTTCTAAGGGCCACCTACATTTCTCTGCCTGTCTCCTGCCATAAACTCCTGTTTACCTCTTCCCACCTCACAAGTACCCAGCACTGTATGCCCAGGCTGCTGTCTCTGCCTTTAGTACCTTCCTCTAACTCCTGCCTTTGACCTGGCATACTAAGTTCAGGAACAAGCAAACCTTTTTTTTTTTTTTTTTTTAAATATTTTTTTTAAAGAGAGAGTGAGAGAGGAGAGAGAGAGAGAAAGAGAGAATTTTTAAATATTTATTTTTTAGTTCTCGGCGGACACAACATCTTTGTTGGTATGTGGTACTGAGGATCGAACCCGGGCCGCACGCATGCCAGGCGAGCACGCTACCACTTGAGCCATATTCCCAGCCCCAGGAACAAGCAAACCTTGACTACCCCATGACATCTTGCACTTATTTTTTTTTAATTAAAAAAAATTGTTGTTGGTGGAATTTTATTTTATTTATTTATGTATATGTAGTTCTGAGAATCAAATCCAGTGCTTCACACATGCTAGTCAAGTGCTGTACCACTGAGCCACAACCCAGCCCAACACCCTGTATTTTATGGCTTCCCAGGGCAGGTGGGCAGTGACTGTTTTTTTATTTTTTATTTATTTTTGTATTGTTGTTGTTTGGTTTGGTTTTGGTTTTGGTACCAGGGATTGAACTCAGGGGTATTTAACCATTGAGCCATATCCCCAGACCCTTTTTAAAATATTTTATTTAGAGACATAATCTCGCTGAGTTACTTAATGTCTTGCTAAGTTGCTGAGGCTGGCTTTAAACTCACAATCCTCCCCTTCAGCCTCCCAAGCTTCTGGGATTACAGACGAGTGCCACTGCACACAGTGGGACCATGTTTTTATAATCTGAGCGTCCTAAGGCCCAGCCACAGACTAGACTCAGAACTGAGGCCTGGAGGTGTATTTTGTTAAGAGTGAGGGAGGACCATTCCCTGTCCCACTCTCAGGGAAGAAGCCCGAGGATCCCCATGCTGAGTGAACTTCCCTAAGTAGGAAGCTGCTGCTTAGATTTTGGCCTGTTTAGTTCCCCTACCCCCAACCATCTAAGGCTATGATGTTACCCAGCCCTTCAGTGTCTTGGCTGATGGACCCCTCATTGGGAGAAGTAGAAGCTGAAGCCCATCAAGAATCAAGCTATGTCCAAGACCATAAAGCCTAGTAGGGGCTGGCTTGCCAGGGTGGGACATGGAATATGAGTTTGAGTACCCTGCCCTCTGACTTGAGTTCATATTTATGAGAGGTGAGGCCTGCTAGTACTTTTAGAGGCCACTATCTACCCATGACCTTGAGCTGGGAGGAACAAGCCAGGATGGCAGTCTGACCTATAAGGGTAGAGGAGTGTTTCAGCCTTGAAGTCCTAGCCAGTGTAGACTCAGCTCCCACTCACAGATGCTCTTACTGGTGGGCAGGTAGCATGTGACCTCAAGCTTCCTATTGTATGTAATCTTGGGACCTCCCTGGATGACCCAGTTCAGTTCCATCCTGTGGCTCAACCAGGATCAGTGCCACTTAATCAGCCTACCTCAGCCAAGAAAGCACAATTGTGAGGCTACTTTGCACTGGTTCCTATCACTGTGGTGGTTATGCTAGGAATGCTTATAAAGAATTATTTGTGGTTTGGTTGATATAAAATAGATAAATTAGTATTTAATAAATGCAGAGGAATGGGAAAAAAATTAAAAGAGGGTCTATAATGCTAGGGAAGTAGCTCAGTAGCAGAGCTCTTGCCTAGCATGTGTAAGGTCTGAGGTTTAATCCCCAGCCAGTACTAAAAAAAATAAAAAAAAAAAAAGAAGGTCTGTATTTGAGGGAAGAAATCAAGGGGATTGCTCTAGAAAGGGGGAAAGCATGGGCATGGGGCTTCCCCTCACTCTCCATCCACCCCCTTCTAGATCTTGTCCTTTGCTGGCTGTGGAGCAGATCGGGCAGCGGCCCCTGTGGGCCCAGTCCCTAGAGCTTCCTGAGCCAGCCATGCAGCCCTTACCTGCTGGGGCCTTCCTAGAGGAGGTGGCAGAAGAGACCCCAGTCCAGCCAGAGAGTGAGCCAAAGGTGCTGGATCCTGAGGAGGATTTGCTGTGCATAGCCAAGACTTTTTCCTACCTTCGAGAATCTGGTGAGTCTGAGCGGGGAAAGCAAGCCTTGTCCTGAGAAGTCTGGTATGGGAAGCTTAGCTCTCTGCCTGTTGAGTCTGATTTGGGGGGAATGGCCCAGCCCCAGAGAGTCTGATGGGAGAAGTGTAGCCTTCCTCCTCCTGGAAGTATGAAGAAAGAGGCATGGTCCTAACCTGTCCTGGGTTAAGTACTCTCAGCTGATTTCCATTGTAACCAATCCCTTGCCCCCTCTTTCCATTTTCCTAGGCTGGTATTGGGGTTCTATTACGGCCAGTGAGGCCCGGCAACACCTGCAGAAGATGCCAGAAGGCACATTCCTAGTACGAGACAGTACCCATCCCAGCTACCTGTTCACGCTGTCAGTGAAAACCACTCGTGGTCCCACCAATGTGCGCATTGAGTATGCTGACTCCAGCTTCCGTCTGGACTCCAACTGCTTGTCCAGGCCTCGTATCCTGGCCTTCCCGGATGTGGTCAGCCTTGTGCAGCACTATGTGGCCTCCTGTTCTGCTGACACCCGAAGTGACAGCCCTGATCCTGTTCCCACGCCAGCCCTTCCTGTGCCTAAGGAAGATGCACCTAGTGACCCAGCACTCCCTGTCCCTGTGGCCACTGCTGTGCACCTAAAACTGGTGCAGCCTTTTGTGCGCAGGAGCAGTGCCCGAAGCCTTCAGCACCTGTGTCGCCTTGTCATCAACCGTCTGGTGGCTGATGTGGACTGCCTACCACTGCCCCGACGCATGGCTGACTACCTCCGACAGTACCCCTTCCAGCTATGACTAGTCTGGGTATCCTGCCCAGCTTCACGCAGCCATATCCTGGAGGGGACACAGGCCCCAGCTGGACTTGGGCTCCTGCTATCCCTCCAGCCATCCTGGTGCCTGCGTGCATCTGGCAGCTGGACCAGAAAGAGCCAGCAAGAGCAAGGAAGAGGGAGGGGAGAGTTGTCATACAACTCAGAGCTCAGCACCCCCATGTCCCATGTGGTTCCATTGTGGTGAGCCATGTATCAGAGAAGAGGGAGACAGGCGGGACCTTGTCTCACCCTGCTGGCTGGGCCCACGTCTTCACTCACTTACTGACCCCAGCCACCTGAATTGTGTAGACTTTCCCAGCTCTGGTTTCTCAATATGCAGGGTGGGGCAGGCCCCCTATCTCCAGCCAGTCTGTTTCTGGGAGGATGGTGGCCAGAGGAACTAGGGTTGATAGTGACAGCCCCCTTGTGGGGAAGCAGGCTAGGCTGGGGAACTGCACAGTTATATGCTATTTATTTATTTATTCCCCCTGGGGTTGGTCTCCAGTGAGCCACCCTACCTCTCTGCCCTGAGTCCTGGGAGTCCAGAGACCCCAGCTCTGTTCTAGCTTCTCTGATTCTTCTTTGTGGAGAGCCCCATCCTAAGAAGTTTTGCTGGACCCAAGGCATTCCTGGATGTCTGGCACTGACCCACCTGCCTGTGAATGTGGCCACTCTTTTCTGTCCCAGCCCTGTTTGGAGAGGATGAGTGAATAGACAAGAAAATGGAACAAGAGCCTCAGTCCCCAACAAAGCCTGTGGCCCACCTTCTTGCAAGACAGAATTGTGGCCACACATAGCTGCCTTCACCGTGGCACAAGCCCTCAGAGTGTACATGCTGTGTCAGGAAGGGGATGCTGGTTCAAGGGCTGCTGCGGCAGCTCTGCTGCATTGGTTTCCTGCCTAGGAAGGTGCCTGCACAGTAGAGAGGGGAAGAAATACATATCTGATAAGACTTTATAAAATAATTATTATAACACAAAACCCAGTGTGGTAGTCCTTTTTCTTCCACTGATTTTTCTATAATGACAATAAAATTATACCTTTCATTTATGGAGCCCTCAGTGGGGCCTCTTGAGTTCTGCTCAGAGTTTTTCCTCTTTGGTCCTGTTATCGTGATCTCCTATTTCACATCCAGGCTAGCAGAAGTCAGAGATCTTTCGTGGTGAACAGTCTCTCCTGGGACACTCACTAACAGGGTGGAAGAGATGAAGAACCGTCTTTCTCATCTCATTCCTCCTTGTTTCTCTTGGAAAATGGGAAACAGGATGTGAAGGCCCATTGGTCTGCCTATAGGATCACTAACCAGAGCACTGCTGGGTTGCAGGGAGAAGGCTGGGGGTGTCAGGAGCAGAGGCCTGAGAGGTATGTAAACAGGAAGTGCTCATTCAAAATGCAGATGGATAATACCAGTGGGGAGGGTTCTATGGCCTATTCCTGAGGGCAGTGACTTGAGAAGGATCCAATAGTCAGCATTCAGGACCAGTCCTTGCAGGGAGAAGGTGCAGTGACTACAAAGACACTGAGCCATGATTCACCACAACCCTGGGAATGGTGGTCCAAATGAGTAAACTGAGATTCCTAGTTGGAAGGGGGCTTGCTGAGGCAAGTGGGTCACAGAGCAGAGCTTTTACTAACTGTCCATCTGCCTGTGGACTGCTACATGAAATGGGGAGAACAGGCAGCTGGGATGGACACTGGTTTTGATCCCTATCTCCTTGTCTGCTGAGAGTTCTATAATCGTTGACCTGGCCAATGGGGATACTGTCTGCCTTACCCTTCACCTCAGCTCAAGCTAGGGTCCAACCGTCTCCTGGGAAGGCACTGTTAGCTACTTCAAATCCCAACATTTTCTGGTTTGATGTTTTTGTTTCCCTACCAGGGGAGTGCACCATGCCTGCCTGGAACAGGGACAGTAGGTGGCATTTCATTTGACCCTAGACCCAGCCTAACAGATGCAGGAAATCTTCTGGTCAACACAATCACCTTGGGTGACCCAAGCTAGTAAAATGACACTAGCTGGGGAGAAAGGGATTAGCCATCTGGTGGGTGTACAGGACCCTGCACAATATGCAAACAATAACTGATATAACCCTTTACCTATTAAGTCCTTCACCAGCACATGCACTCCTTGGCACCAACTAGGCCAGCCTCCATCTGGGCCCTGGGGACACAGCAAGATCATGTCTACATGGTCCCCATACTCATGGGGCTCATGGCTAGTGCAAGAGAGGTAGTAAACAAATGAACAAATGGGCACACAGGACAAGTTTTTGAGAGTATAAAGAAAGTAAAGCAGGGGACAGGGCAGAAGTAACATCGAGTTTGGGAACACCCTACTAAGAGGGTCAGGGAAAGCATTGAGCAAGGTGGAAGCAAACCTGGATGCCTGAGCAAAGAGCAGGCATCATCCAGACAGGTTGGGGAAGGGATGTCACAAGAAGGCAACATCAGTGCAATGGCTCTGAGGCAGAAACAAACCTGAAGCTCAGAATGGGGTAGGAAGGACAGAGGAGGCATGTGATTTTATTATAGTGTGGTAGAGCACCTCTTGAGAATCTAGCAGGGAGCAGTCCCCTGCAGTGCTCATTTCTAAGAGATGCATCTGTCAGTTAGGTGGGGATGGATCCATAAGGGCCTAGAAGCAAGAGGCCAGAAAGAAGGTTAAGAAGTATGAGACTTGGATAGGTAAGGTATAATGGGAATAAGGAGTAAGTGAGGGTGGCAATTTTTGTGACCCTGGGCAGTGTTCATATCCCATTAAATTCTCACTACAACTCTGCATACCAGCAGAGATTACTCCCATTTATAGTTGAAGAGGTAAAGTTCAGAGAGGAGTGTTATCTTGCCCAGGGTTACACTGCTAATGAGAGGCAGACCCAGGCTTCATATCCTAACTCCAGACCTTTTTGTGTGTAACTGTTCTGTTCTGCCTAAGGGCTGGTTAGCTAAATCTTCAAGACTCCCAAGATTTGGAGAGTATATAGAGGGGTGGTGATGCTCAGGAGGGCTTTCTGGAAGTGGGGAATCTGGGGGATGGATTCTGGAGAAGTTGAGTTTAGAGATTGATCCTGTGTAGCATCTCTCCCTGGATTCACAAGTCTCCCTCTGAAATGACTTTGACACAGAAATGCTGGTAAAACATTCCAGGTATTTCTTGTCAGCATATATTAGTGATATTCTGGCCAGCTAAACAGGATCTCTGAGTGACCCAGCATTCCTGGAATGACTGGGACCCTGCTCCTAGGCCAGGCTTTTAATCTGCTGACTGAAGCTGGGCCCAGTAGCCCATGCCTATAGTCTCAACTACTTGGAAAGGTGGAAAGATCACTTGATCCCAGGAGTTCAAGATCAACCTGGGCAACATAGCGAGGCCTGTCACAAAAAGAAAAAATATATAAACACAGATAACCTGTTGACTGAGCAGATCTTGAAAAGCCAACGATGGACCCATGTCTAAATGGGGCTGGGGCTGTGGCTGTGGCTGGTTCTGCTCTCAGATGGGAACCCTCCCACCTTATACGGCTGTCCACACTGAAGTGAAGGAAGCAGAGGGCCAGGACCTAAAATAAGGCCTGACCAAGAAGGCGGGAAGATTTGGGGTCTGTGCATAGGGCATCCAACCCTGAGGACCTCATAAATATCTTTTTCCTCTAGGAGAAGTTGAGCCTGTGCAGGCCTCAACAGCACTTTCACATCAACCTGTTAGACCAGTTTTAATCTAAAGCAGGCTTGAGCTTCACCAGAAATTCAACAGTCTCCCCACCCCTTCCTGACCCAGTGGAGCTGCACAACCATTGCCCTGGTGCTGCAATGATCTCAGGGCAATAGGCTAGGATTCCCATGTCTGAGACTCAAAATTCCCTGGAGGTTTAAATCTGGCCAGACTGCAGATCAGAGGGTAATTGGAAGAGCTGCTGGGCCTAGCTAGCTTTACTGTTATGTAGAATAAATGGAAGCTGATACTCATTGATAAGCTCAAGGAGACTCAGCAAGCACAGCACAGTAGGAGGCCAAAGCTGTCTACTCAGTGGAAACAGTTGTTTCCATGACCCAGGCCTGATTGAAGCAGCTGAGGATCAAAGCACAGGAGGGAGCCTCTGAAAGTTGAGGAAAGTTGGGGCTACCATGACTCCTCCAAGGAGTCCTCCAAGACTACACTAACTACAGTCCCAGTACCAGTGAATGTGCAGGCACCAAATATGCCCTGATGTTATGACTGAAGAGGATATGGTATCCAGAAAATGTTCTTTAGAGGCCAAAACCTACTCCAGGGACTCTCCCCACTCCCAGCACCTATGAGCCAGATCCAACTCTTCCTGTCACCAGAACTGGGCGCTTCTCCACCAGAAGTATGGATTTCACTCATAGTCTAGGTTAGGCAAAAGTGGTGTTCATAAAAGTGCCTCTCAGTCTGCTCCAGGGAAGCACTTTACTGCTCCCCACCTCCATCAGCCTCTGAGCACATCGTGTGTGTGTGTGTGTGTGTGTGTGTGTGTGTGTGTGTGTGTGTGTGTGTTGACCTTTCCACTTGGCCAACATTCCTTTATTTTCCTCAGCTCTTTCCGGTGGACAAACAGCTGTGGTAGGAGGAGCTGCCAGGAGTGTAAGTCCTCAGGAGACTTTCTCCTCAAAGCTCAGACATGGAACTCAAAGAGACACAGGGAAATGAAGGCTTATCCAGAAGGATATGACAGTCTGAGAAGAGTGGGTGAGCTACAATAAGGGACCTCTTCAGCAGAGCTCACTAGCCCTGGTGCTCAGGTGCCTGTAGGGTGTGTTCCTGGGCATCTCTGCCAGATCAGTGTCGTCTGCCAGATCAGTGTCGTCAGCCAGACGTCTAGAGGGCAGGCTAAGCTTAGGCAGACAAAGCTAGGTGATCCTGGGCAGATTGCTTTATCTCTCTGAGCCATATATAGCCCAGGCCATGGGTTTGCTGTCTGTGAGATCAGTTTGCTCTCTCTCCTGCTGCAGAGGTGCCTAGGCTGGGTCTCCATAGCCCCTGTACCTCTTCACTAGGATATAGCCAGTGTCTGGTTGGGAGCTGTGGGCTTTAAAGGCAATAGCACCCACTCCCAGCACCTTGACAATCACCCCTTTTCTCTTCTGGATCTCAGCAGGTAACCTGGGGGTGCCTTGTGCAAGGCAGAGAAGTCCTGGTGTGGGCACTCCTGCCCCCACTCTGGGTGAGGTGTTTTCGCCAGAATTGCAGCAGCTGTGGCTGGAGGCCTCTTCCCAGGAAGAGCAGAGCGCCTCTTCCAAGAACTCAGAGGAGGGCGGGAGGGGGTGGAGGGGGAGTTAATTTTAAACCAAACAGCCTTCAACGCTTCTCAGGAACTGGTTGCTCAACGTGATCTGGCAGGTCCCAGGCGGGTAGGCGGGCCTGGTGCCAGCTCAGAGGTGGTGGGGGTGGAGGACACACCCCAGAGGGGAGGCCCAGTGACCTTGAGGAAATTTGGGCCCTGTCCTTGCCCACTCATCAAGGCCTGTCAATCCCTAATCCCACTCACCCAGCCCACCTTGCTAAGGGGTATGGGGTCTGATGATTTGTTCAGCTTTAAGCCGGCAAGGTGAAACTATAATAGGATTAATAATACAGGTGTCATGTCCTTCCAAGGGCCCTAAGACTGAATGTCCCATCTTTTTTCCTTGTTCAAAACCTGCCACGACTGTCCCCTGTCCTATCTCTCTGAAGGTTATCTGATGAAGGTTTACTCTGAGACCAGGATAAGCCCTGGGCCAATTCTCTAGGGGATAGGAAGCTGGGTATCAGGCTAGTGGGGTGGTGAAGTGGAGGGTGAAGGGTGGAGTATAGCAAGCTGGCAGAAGTTCTGGGCCTAGGGAGCAAGCTTCCTTTATGTAGAGAGAGAACTCATGGGCCTGCCCTCCATGACTGACTGGGAGTCAAGGCAGCTTCACTTCATTAACCTCCTGTCCCCACCTCAGTGTAGCTACCCCCTCCTGGCTGACAGCCTGGACCCACCTCCCAGTGTCTAGCCCATGGAATGTCTTCCCGACAGAGCCCTCCCTTATGCCCCTCTGACTGCCCTATGAGACCCCCCACAGATTGGGAGGGCTAAAGCATGGGTTCTAGGAAAGAATCCCAAGCAAATGCTGCCAGGAGCTGCAGTTCTTGGAACCACTACTGCAGGGTGAGGGGATGCTTCCTGGAACCTGCTGACTATTCCAGGGAGAGAGCTCAAAAGACAAGCAGTGATCTAGGGTGGGGTGAGGGAGGGATAGGGTGCTGAGACTTCAACTTGGGACCTCACCTCCAGGAAGCCCTTCATGATTGCAAGTACCTCCTTAGCTTCCCCCTTCCCAGTGCTGGGGCTGCTGGGCCACTCTAAGGCCCTTCCAGGAAGAGTCAGTTCTTTTGGGCCTCTGTAGTACTCAGTGTTCAGCCTAGAACAGAGTGGAAAACCTAGAAATGGAAATGGGTAGGGGAAAAAGAAGGTATATGTGCCTGTAAAGGTCAATGTGTGGGTGTGGGCACACAGGTGAAAGGGGGATGTCAAGTACAAGTGTACTGCCCTGGTTGCTGAGCAGGTGGAGGTGAGAGGAGCCAGAGGAGAGTAGGCAGAAAAGCAAGGCAGGGACAGCAGTGCCACGGCCTACTCACTAATCCCCTTGTGCTAGGGGGCAAATAGCCTCATGTTCCAGTCCCTCCTTCAGGCCATTCTTATTCTTTCTCTTAGATCCCTGTCCCACCACAGGGGGTATAAGCTCCAGCTCTATCACCAAGCCACCCAGAGTTCTCCTGGTACCAGTATCCAACTGTGCATCCCTGAGAATGTGACCATGCTATTGGAGTCTTGGTTTCCCCACTTGGAGGGTAGAGAGAAGAGGCTGCAAGTAGGTGGGTACTGATGCCAGGCCTGGCTCTGGGGAAGGTCGTGGCATGCGTGCCCCAGGATGGGTTGGGGTACAGGAAAAATATCAGGGTCAGCACTGTCAGAGCAAGGGCCTTAAAGCCTAGTTCAAGGGGATGGAGTTGCAGGTCATGGTCAGCAAAAAGGGGAAGTAAAGGCCCTCTCTCTGAATGGGATGCTATGGGGCAGACTTTTCACTACTTGGCTATGGGGCAGACTTTTTACTGTTTGCCTTCAGAATGGAGAACATCACATGACCAGGGCTAGATGGAGGTGTGAGCAGGGACTTGCCTCTCCATTCACATCCTGGGGTTACTCTTTGGTTTTCCCTGAGCACAGCTCCAAGCCTGGTGCCCATTCACCTCCATGTCACAAAGAAGGTGGCAGATCATCCTCCAGAAGTCAGTCTTAGGGCTGAAGGCTGGGTAAGTGTCTGAGGAGCAGCTGTGAAGTAGGGCTGTGAAAGAGTTTTTCTGATCCACGTAGGAAGGCAGTAGAGGCAACAAAGGGACACAATTCATCACAGTGCTCAAACTTTGAAGCAGCTGATTTTCTGAGGCTACCTGGGGCAGCTGGCAGAGGATTAGAATGCTTCTTTCTCTGCCACTTGGAGTCTCAGTTGTCTGATCCCAGTAAAAATGGCCTTGGCCATAAAGAGCCTGATGGAAGAACTTAACCTAGGACCCACCCAACCTGAATGGAAGAGCTGCTGGGTGGCATCTTTTAGGTTTGCAAGGAATACCTGTGTCAAGCTTCAGGTGGTTCCAAAGCCAGATAAGCTTTGAAAATTCAGTTTTACCTTCTATAAAGTAGGGGCAATGTTATAACTTACCTTACAGGATCATCATAAGGAGTAGATTATAGACTTGATTTTACTTCTCCTTGGGGTCATCTCCTTGGAGTCATCCCTCCCCTCCAGCTCTCCCTTCACCATGAGCCCATGTAGACACGAGTCCCAAGAGTACTTTCTGTGTTTTCCATTGTAGCAAGAAGTATCTGTGGACACATCAACTGGAGCACAGGCTCTGAGGTTTGTAGTACTCTGAACAAAAGGAGCAATGAAGGTCCTCATATCAGAATATAAATATTTAAAAATCATAAATCAAATACACACTGCTAATAAAATATGTTCTATCCTTCTACTCAACCAGTAAACTTTCATAGCAATAAAAACCTGTAAATTTATGGTTTTTATATGTCTGAAAGTCAGCAGATATGAAAGATGATTGAACTTAATGATTATTGCTCATGTCTAGGTGTTCAGTGATGGGTTTAAGATATAAGAGAATAGCGATATGCCTTACTTATAATTATATTTCATATTTTTTTTAAAAATATTTTTTAGTTGTAGTTGGACACAATATTTTTATTTTTTTATTATTTGTTTTTATATGGTGCTGAAGATCGAACCCAGGGCCTCACACGTGCTAGGCGAGCATTCTACCACCGCTGAGCCACAACCCCAGCCCAGCATTTTATATTTATTCTGTCCAACTAATTGTTCTTACCTTTATTCCAGTAAAATGACTGATTATGTTGTCATAATCAAGAATTACATATAATTATTGTTCTTTTGGCAGTGACGATTTACAAGATTAATATAACACATCATTGTTAAAGAGCTTAAAATATAAATTAAATAAAAAACATCAAAAATTAAAAGTATTTCCAATAGGTTCCCAAAAGTTATTTTTAAATAATCAAAATAATTTAGTAAAAGTGAGATAAAATAAACTATACATTATAAGAAACTGACATCAAATTTTAAATTAAAATGATTTAGGGCTAGGGATATAGCTCAATGGCAGAGCATTGTCCGGAATGTGCTGAGCCCTGCATTCAATCCCCAGTACTGGGAAAATAAAATAAAATAATAAAAAAATACATGATTTAAATAAATGATTTAAAGGGGCTGGGATTGTGGCTCAGTGGTACAACACTTGCCTAGGGCATGTGAGGCACTGGATTCAATCCTCAGCATCACATAAAAAATAAAGAAGATAGGGTATTGTGTCTATCTTCAACTAAAATTTTTTTAAAAGATGATTTAAAATTTTTTTTACTTAACTTTTCCATTTTTTCCTTTTATTTTTTGACAGTACTGGGGATTGAACACAGGACCTCATGTATGCTAGGCAAGTGCACTGTTCGGAGCTACATCTCCAGCCCTGAAATTTTTATTAAGTAATATTAAATGTTCTCATAAAGAAATCATCTCAGGGCTGAGACTGTGGCTCAGCAGTAGAGCGCTCGCCTAGCACAGGCGGGACCCAGGTTCGATTCTCAGCACCACATAAAATAAAGGCATTGTGTTGTGTCCATCTACGCCTAAAAAATAAATATTAAAAAAAAAGAAAGAAAGAAATCATCTCAGTCCACAACTAAATTCCCCATGAAGGATAAAGTTGTGTCTGTTTCTGTAGTCAGAAGCAACACAATCTGCATGAGTTTCCCTGGGGCCTAAACAGTGTTATCATGAGGGTGGACATTTGGATTTATCTCATACTGTGCCAGCATAGAATGTCAAACTCCTGGTGATAGAGATGCCCATGTGTTCTGTAGTCAATTTATTGAAAACTGATCCTTTGTATGTTTATGGTACACTCTAAATAAGAGAACCCAGGAAGATTAGGAGAGAGTGGTAACAGACCAGGTACAATTCCCAACAAACCTTTTGGGAAAAGGTCTGCCTCACATGCCACCACCATAAGTTCTTAGATGGGTCAAATATTTAAATGTTAAAAGTGACCCAAGCATCCTTTAGAGCTCCTTTTAGAGACATAGAAGAATGGGTTCTAGGTGAGAAACCCTTTTACATGACTACCCTGAATTATTTTCAGGATAAGAGGAAGTAGAGAAATCCCTGAAATCTATTAATGCCCATTTAATGTTGGAAGACTATTCTCTATGGTTCTTTCCCATTTCTGCACACTTTACAGTAGAGGCACCAACTGCCTCTATTCCAAACAAATTTTAGGGAGATGATGATAAGAAAAGCCTTAGAAGATAGAGGTGATCTGTTCTATATTTCTGAACCAGGAGTCTTGTATATTCTCCAGCATCCTTGAGAATATGATAGGCTAATTTTTTAGTACTTGCAAGGCAGATAAAAATCTCAAGACTTCAGAGTTCTTAACATAAAGGACAGGGGAAGTGAGATGGGGAAGGAAAGGAAGCCAAAGCAGGTGTGTTAATAACTAGGTTCCTTATTTTGGCAACCGAGGCTCAATCCTAAATTGAAATATGGTAGAGAATACACCTCAGGGTTGTCTCACCCAAGAGGTGGGGAAGCTGGAGCATGTGTCCACCAACTTTCTCTCTTCATTGGCTTAGAGATGCTCCGGGGAATTAGTTCCTTGGCACTTTTGGTTACTTACCAGCCTGGCCTCTACTGTAGGCAAAGCCATAGATGATGGTTTCAACTGCTTTGTGGGAACTTGAGTATGAGGGGACTGACCTGCTTAGTCCCCACCAGACTGGAGCACTATGTGAACAGGCCCTTGCCCAAATACTGTTCATTTCCAGTGCTGACACAGTGCCCAGCAGAAGGTGACTAAATGCACATCCCATGGACAAGCTAAGAGCCTGTTTACTTGTCTCTCTTCTCCACTAGGCCATAAGTTCCTATAAATAGAGACTGTCAATTTTTCATACCCCAGTGTCAAGTGTAGGCCTGGAAATCAGCAAATGTTTATTAAAGTTTTGTTGAATGAATAAAAGATGCAAATAAATAAGCTTCTAAAATAAACAAAATTCCAAGTATCCAGAACTAGATTACAACATCTTTAAATAGAGAAAGGCTACACAAACAAAATCCACGTGATAGGGAGGGGCCAGAGGCCTCCCCATGGAAGTGAGAAGCAAGGTACAAATGCTCTACAAGGCAGATAAAATCTCAGTCATCAGAGTTCTTAACATAAAGGACAGGGGAAGTGAGATGGGGAAGGAAAGGAAGCCAAAGCAGGTGTGGTTTTCAATGTTACATTGACAGTCTTAGCCAAGCTATAAACGAGGAAATAAATAAAAGGTATAAGTACTAGAAAGGAAAAGATACAGTTATTAAGTATCATATAGGAAATCCAGGAGAAGTGACGAATAATAAACCTTAAAATGGAAACCAAGAAGGTGAGTTGTTATAAGATAAACCCACACAAATCAATGCACCAGCAAGAACCAATTAGGCCATATTTCTGGATAACAAATAACAGATTTATTTAGTAATAAATCTCTGTGCTGCTGACTGGTGTGTGCTGAAATTCTCTTCTGTCACATAAGTCAAGATCCTAGCTGGTCCTGAGTCAAGGTCCCCTTCTGTCTAGAAACTTCTTTGACCTTTATTCAGAAACACTTCTCCTGTGATACTGGCTGTGAATTTTGTCGTGCTACATGCCTTGAACCCAAATCTTTTCCAGGGCCTTAGGCCAGGTACACAGGGGTATCCAGATGTCCTTCCTGAACTAGTCCCTCAGTTGGACACAAGTTGACTGTCCCAGTGTAAAGAGTGACTGTGTCCATTCCCTGAGACAGCAAAAAGCCAGGGCATCAGAAAAGCTATAGCTCTGATCAGAGTTCTCAGGCTCAGCCTGAAGCTCCCAGTCAGGGGTAGAGATGGTATGGAAGAATGAGGGGCAGCCAGATCGCCATTGGGCCCAGGGCCTCATGGAGTAAAAGCAGTTTCTCTGCCTGCTCCCAAAATCTAAGTAGAAGGGAAGAGCTCTGCGGCGAGTGAGTGACTAGAGAACTGTCTGGAGTCTTTTAGTGAAAGGGTAACATTCACCAAATCTGAGGCCCCACTCTCATCCCACCAAAATAGGCATAATTGAAGGATGCTCTGAGTGCTGAGGAATGAGACCTCCACAGGATCAACCTTGCTTTAAGCACGGTGCTCGGGGCCTTCTCTAACAGCCAGCAGCCTCCTCTGCCTGAGAAAGAGGGTACACAGGACCTTGTGGGGAATGGGGTTGGGGGCAGATAGTAATTATGGTGGAGGCACTATCCTCTTCTAGCTCCAAGACCCACCTCAGTGTGAATGACAAAATCTGAAGCTGGGCTGGCCTGGTGTGGCTCTAGTGGCTACTGCCACAGTCTCAAAGATGCTCCACCCCAAGCCTAGAGCTATATAGGGGTAAACTGTAGTCTTACTGGGTGGGAGTGAAGGGGACAGAGGTTGGAGGGAGGTTAGAAGCAGGGGAAAGTTCTAGGTGGTCAGAGAGGATAGAAGCATTTGAGCAGAATTGGGAAGGCTGATTGTTTTCAAGGGAAGGAAGGGGGAAATTTCAGTCTGCTAGACCAGTCCAAGCAAAGGTAAGAAATTCTGGGGAATGGTCACTAAATATTAAGAAGATCTAGGTTTGCCAACAGGTGGATTTTCTAAGAATATCACCAGCCTCATCTCCCAGTATTAGATGGAATGTGGTCCTCAGCAGGTGTCAAGTTCCCAGTACCAACCCAAAAGTCCGGGGATCTGGATAAGGTGCTCAGGTCTGGCTCGTTCCCCTCCCAGACCTACCCCAAGTTGCTATGTAACCCTGGGAATGTCATGGGTCCCTTCTGGGCTTCATCCTTTTTTTTTTCCATGAAATGGGGATACAATGCTTGAGTTTTGAGTTTCCATGGGCTCCCAAGACTCAAAAACATTGATTGGGCCTCTGAGACAGGGTGATCTCTCTTTCTGTCTGTCTCTCTGTCTCTGTCTCTCTCTCTCTCACACACACACATACATGCACACACACACACACACACACACACACACACACACACTTGGCCCTGCCTAGTTTCCAGAGCCTGGGGCTATCCCATCCTAGCTGGGAGGTCCTGCATAGATACCTGTGATCATAAATATGGACCCCATGTTAGCCATGCTCATGTGCATGAACCAGTGAGTGGCCTGTGAATGGTGTGTGGGTCTCTGTGATATGTGTGTGTGATATGGCCTGGCCTCCCCAGAGCCTAATATCTCTTATGGCTCCTTGTCCTGAACAAAACAATCATAAGGACCCAGTCACGCATTAGGGGCCTGTCAGAAGTAATCTATGTTCATCC